GCTCTCCAGCCCAGGGGTCCTGGTGTGTGTACACACACACACACACACACACACACACACACACACACACACACACACACACACACACACACACAATGGAATACTACTCAGCCATAAAAAGGAATGGAATTTTACCATTTGCAGTAGCATGGATGGCCTTGGAAGGTATTATGCTAAATGGAATAACACAGAGAAAGACAAATACTATATGATATCACTTATGTGTGGAATCTAAAAAATACAACAAACTAGTGAATATAACAGAAAAGAAACAGACTCACAGATATAGAGAACAAGCTAGGGGTTACCAGTGGGGAGAGGGAAGGGAGGGCCAAGACAGAGGTAGGGGATTAAGAGGTACAAACTACTATGTATAAAATAAGCTACAAGAATATATTATACAACACAGGGAATATAGGCAATATTTTATAATAACTATAAATAGAATATAACCTTTAAAAGTTGTGAACCACTGTGTTGTACACCTGTAACATATAATATTGTACATCAACTGTACTTCAGTAAAAAGGAGTATGGGACAGGAAAAAATAGTTTTTATAAAATACCATGCTATGCCACCTTTTTTCACTTTCACAGCCAACTCTGTGGATCAATATAAGTCACCTTCTACAGTGGTGATGCAATGATGCTTGCCCAGAGTCATACAGAAAATGGCAAAGTATTCAACACTAGGTCTTTTCTTTTTTAACACTAGGTCTTTTGATTATAAATCCAGGTTTCTTTGTTGTGCTGTGGTTTTTTTTTTTGTCATAGTGCCATAACTGTCTCTTTCTTAATTCTCATCCTACTGAATCTGTTTACATTGCTTGTCTCCACTGAGATTTTCTCACAACTTACTTCTCAGATTCTTTTTCTTAATTGCCTTTCTAATCTTTGACAGTTATCTTTCCATCTCTTTTACTGTTTCTCTTTCTTCACCAGTTGAAATATATATTCTGTAAACTTTTATCCTTATCACTGTTCTTCCTTTATTTTTTAACTGAATGATCTTATTCATTTCTGTAGCCTCTACTATTATTTATCTGCTGATTATTTCAAAATCTAAATCTTTTCTGGGTCTCTTTCTTGAGCTCCTAAAAAGATTTTTTTTTTCCAGTTGCCTACTAGATGTTTTTACCTGGATGCCCGACAGCTTCCTCAAATGTATTCTATCTGAGAACTGGCCTCAGTATTCTTCCTCACCAAACCTGACCTTCCCTACCACTCAGCCACCCAAACTAGAAATTTTTGTTTCATATGCCTCTTTCATTTTTTTCCTCCTCAAATCTAATTAGTCAACAATCCCTATCAGTTCTACTGAAGTATATCTTAAGTCTGTCCCCTTCATTGAATTCCCACTACTACTAAAGTATAGGTTCTCAAATCCTTTCACTTGGAACATTGAAATAAGTATCCCTTCTCATGTCTTCAAGTCTAATCTGCCATATGCTGCCAAACCACTGCAAACACACACGCATGTGTGCACAGGCACATGCAGATACACACACACACACACACACACACACACACACACATCAGAATTGTTCCCTTGAACAGTCCTCCGCCTAAAAACCTTTAGTGATTTCCCTATTGCCATCAGAGTAAAGTCCAAATACCTTAGTGTACCAGTTTAAGGACTACTACAATCTAGTTTCATGAAAACTTTCTGGCATTATAGCCAGTCCACGTTCCTCTTCCATACATAGAGCTGATGATTCAGTTTGATTTTTGGAATTCTTTATTGATTTTTTAAATATCCAGTTTCTTGCTTGTGTTTTTTCTCTGCCTAGAGTACAGCTCCCTCCCCACCAATCTTCTATTACATACACTCCACAACACTGATATCTTTTTTAAAGATACGGGTTAAATATTAGCACTTGCGTCAGGCCTTGCACAGTCTTCTAAAGTAATTAATCACTCTTTTC